TTACCACATGATGGTATAATTTTTTGTACGTGTTATCTCAGATTGGATATAATGATATTTGACTTGATTGGCCTTAGTATTTTACCAGGCAAGATTATTATGTAAATGTACTGTTAGATCTCTTAGGAGATATTGAGGATATATCCGTTGGGTGGATTATTTGTGATGTTTAATTGCTACTTTATCATTATGTTATATGTTATTGTAGCTGTTATTCACTAAGCCGTGAGGCTTATGTTTTTTATTTGTGAATGTTTTGCAGGTTAGAGTTTATAGCACTCGGCTCGGTCCTGTGCTTGCGGCCAACACAATCCTTGTGACAACTTCTTGTGCTCCGGTATGCCAGTGTATACCAGAATGTTTTGTAAACAAGTTTATGTATGAAAAGTGTTTTGGGGTATACCTGATGTGGAAATTTAGGTGTTACAAGTTGGTATCAGAGCCATGGTTTAAGTGAATTAGGTGCTTATAGTAAATACCTAAACTTAAACCGCAAGGTAGAAATGCTATTTGATTTTGCCTGGTAAATATAAGTTGGAACAATTATGGATAAGTGATATATATTTTTTTATAAATAAATCATGATGCATATTGCGGAAAGAATTTCGGTGCGAGATGTAGTACATGTGCTATGCATGTCGTAGTAGGTGTTGCGATACGTAGTGCGACTTAAAATTGTTTGAATGTTTAGAATATTATGAAGTATCGATTTGTAATTGTCGGGACCTTTTTCCCTAACAATTAAAACCGATCTCAACTAGAAGGTTGGATACTAGATGATATCATGTACGAGAAGATAAGAAGGATTGTAGTAGATGACATAGTGTATATAATGCGTTGTGGTGTATGCTTGCGAGACCCACAACAGGATACGAGGTGTGGCGACTAGAAGTACGTGTAGTAACGATTAAGATATGAGATATAGTCGGATTGAAGAATAACAACATACTTTGGTATCACGACGTGAGCATAGTGCGATCACGACGTGATCATTAAGTAGATTGATATAGTTGATTTGTGCATACCACGACATGAAGAAGGTAATGTCACGACATGGCAGATGTAAGACCATGACATGATGAGAAGGAGATCACGAGGTAATAAATTATGATGGTCACGATGTGATCATGGATTAACCACGATATGAAGGTCAAATTTTGACAAGGGTTGACTATCAGATAAAAGGCTAGTTTTAGAGAAAGACAATGGGGTTACTTTGTGCGGTTGATTGACGTTTAGCATCTTTCCTTCAACTATGTAAGCTGCTAGTTTCTGATTGCGATATCAGACCGAGGCCACAGCATGGATGGAGCATGATGCAGCTATAATGTGTTTTAAGTCACCTTGATGTGATGGAATTTTTTGTAGTATGGGTTGAAAGCATGATCCTTGATATTGATTGTGATGATTTTGGGAGATGTGAAGAGAAACGTTTCAGGAAGGGTATGATCCCTGGCCTAAGAAATTGATATTTCAGATATTGATTGTGGGTGCAAGTAATACTATCAGGGTAAATAGTGAATGTCAGTGAACTTTATTTTACTTACAAAATTTGAAATGGAACATGTACAATATGGTGGCTATCTCAGATTGGAGATACCATAGGAATGAAATGATACAGTGGTAGTCTCAGATTGGAGATACCACAGGAATAAAACGATATGTGGTAGTCTCATATTGGAGATACCACAAGAACAAAATAATATGTCGGTAGTCTCGGATCGGAGAAACTACATGACTATAACGAAACAATATAGTGGTAACCTCGGGTTGGAGATACCACGGGAATGGAAAATATATTATATAGTGTATGTGTGGTAATCTTGGTAATAGAGATACCATGAGAATAAGAGTGAATTAATAATGTCATTGATTGGCATAATATGTCGTGGGTTGGTGTCAAGACATAAGATAAATGGATATAATAGACTTTGAAAGGTCACAGGTTGACAGTATGGCAAAGGATTACTGGGGAGAGAAGAAGATAATATCCTTGTAGTAATCATTGAACAACGATCAGATGTTATATTGAGTAGTGAGTTTGTAGAATTTATTACACCAATGTGTAAAATTGGGGTAATGTGAAAGTATTCCTATGATGAGATACTTTATAGTGTGAAGTTATTCAGAGATAGGTGTATGATTAACGTATCAAATGTTTAGATGATACCAGTATGGGTAAATTTATTGTGTATCTGTTTCACATTATGATTGTTGAATACCATAATGGATGTGGAGGATTCGAAAATTTTGATGTGATGAATACATGTAAGTGATGAGATGTGGGAATGTTGTATGCACCAAAATAATATTCGGTGATAATTGATAATTATTTGTTAAATTGCGAATGATATACCCAATTAAATGATTATGGGTAATTGTTTATTGATGATGATGATATACCCGTGACTTGGAAACGATTCATAAATCGAGTATCAGGTGTTACAGATGATATAAAATAGTTTATTTTAAATAAGTGTTATGTGGGTTCTACTTGTTGCAGAGAGTATGATGACGGTAGACAAATTATGATTAAGTACAAATACTTAAGGATAGTGATGTGTTTCTATCTTTATTGTGTGAGATGATTTCTATATTGTGAACTTCTCATGAAGTAATGTTGGTCGATTGCGAGGCTCGGAAAAAGTATTAATAATCGAAAGAAAATTGAAAATGAGTTGCAAAATTTAATTTCAAGTGGTAACTGATAACCATTTTGGATTTAAATTGGTAATCATTGTTGATATATATATATATATATATATATATATATATATATATATATATATATATATATATATAGAGAGAGA